CGTTCAGATAGAATATTTTATGGCTTAGAGCACACGGGAAAGATTGAACGCAGGAGGAGAAGGGCATGACAGAAGATGGGATGGTTGGATGGCATCACTGACTCGATGGACATGAGTTTGAGCAAGTCTCCGGGAGTTGGTGATGGACAGGGAAGACTGGCGTGCTGCAGTCCATGGGATTGCAAAGAGTCTGATACAACTGAATGACTGAACTGAACTGCATGTTTACTTTTAAAAATCAAGAGTTACTTTTATAGCATTTTTTGGTAATAGGAAAAAATTTGGCAGACTTGTTTAAAGGACGTTTAAACATATTTAGTAGTAAAGGGTGGGGGACTAAAGGTAGCTCAATTATTTAATACTACACAAGACATTAGACAAAGAACATTGAGGGAAAAGTCAAGACTTAGTTTCCCCAAAGAAAGAATCTCCTTCTTAAAATACCAAACACTGGCTTGTCCTTTATCATTTCTGTCTCCTTAGGGTAAATGCAAGTCATGGTAGCCATGGAGCCTAGCAAAGGGGCTACTCCTATTGTGACCAACCAAAACTCACCTTTGACAAACACATTTTTGTGGTTTTGTAGGTTATAAAGGACTTTAAAGGCCACAGGTTCTCTACTGGGTTATGAGATACAAGGGTCCTATGCAGTGCTGATCTACCCAGGTATATATAACCCTCATCACTCACACTGACCTGTTGGGTTTCCTCCTGTCTGACCTTTAGACCCATGCTTTAAACTCACCCTGATAATGAATTTGTATTACCATAGCTTATTATATAATTTAATACAAATAAGTTAACTAAGTTGCTGAAGTCCAACAAATTCACTCATCCAAAGACACTTTTTACAAATGTGAATCACCAGCACAAATTTCTCAAAGTGGTTTATTAGCTCACCTAAGAAATAAAGATGCATTTACTTGAAAATGCATTTTTTTAACCTCTTTTCCACAGAATTAACTAGGTTCTAGATCCTATATAGAGCTCCTTTATATGTTAAGTTACCCAGTAAGAGAAAAAATACTCCTCCCAAACAAATTATCAATAGCTTACAGAAAATTAAGCTGAGCATAACTGATTATCCATTAACAATCTTTTCCTGCTTTTGTACACATATTAATGTTCAACACTCAGCACCTATTCTAATACTGACACTGCTGAAATCTTAATTTATTCATTTACTTGTTAAAAGAAATTTTTGCAAATGCTCCATGACCTACCTGCTCTGAGGAAGGTTCTAAGAGTGGGGAAATCTTGCATTTGTTCCTGTTTAATGTCTGGTGTGTTTCAGAATTTGGTGAGTTGAACAAGCAAGGTAACCCAAGGGCATCCAAGCTCCTTCAGAGTCAGGTCTTCAAATTGTGGCCTTTATTAACTTGCAAGTATTATTTTCCACACTACTACTCATACAAAGAAAGTTTCCAAATAAAAATGTCTTGTTTTAATATGTCAAGGTCGATTATTCCTATGTCTGAGTTTTAATAAAAGTTAATTGTCAGTAGTTAACATAAATTATAGACTCATGAACAACCTAAGGCTAGTTTGTCAGGCATAAAAATATATCTTCACCATTAGCTATCAATATGAAAATTTTCTTTCAACTTATAATTACGTAACAGTTCTGGAATTAAAAACTAAGGCCTGTTTTGAGAAACCTAGAGATGAAAACTGTGACCCAACAGTTAACGCGTCCTAAAACCATACTTGATAGACCCAAATCTGGCTGTCAGCCTCCCCACTCCCATCCCATTTAGACTGGTGGGGGTTCCAATCTAAGAAGCGAGGGATCACATTGATAGTTTGACCGTCTCCAGGCCCTATTACTCAGAGACCCTCCCCATAATTACACAAAACTGGGGGGAAAAGTTCATACTCTAAATTAGGATTAAGGCTCTAATTCTAAAGGACACTGTAGATGCTCTGGGTAGACCCTCCCTAAAAGCTTCCTGATTTTTTAAAAAATGTTGGGGTAGAAAAAGAAATTACTATTTTTCTAAAAATTCCATGGTGCTCTTTCATTTCTGTGCTTCATTTGCTTTTTAAAGTTAAGGGCAACTTGAGCACAATTTTAAAAAGATCAGCCTCGTGGGAATACATACTATGTGTGTATTATAAATTTCACGGAAGTCCCAAAGTTGATTTATTTATGAAGTTTTCATGGGGTGGGGGGCTGTCTTAATTTCAATTTTAAGTTTTATGACAAATATTTACTATCCATCCAGTCAGTATTCTAGAAAGCATGTAGCTAGCACCTTTTGTGAAGGGTGCTAGGCAATGAACATCCTATTTGAAATTAAAGACTGTTTCCCCTTAACACAAATTTTTTAAAAATTTACCACAATACCAGTAAAACTACTGTGTTGGCAATATAAGAAAAGACCACTGGCTGTTTTTAAACCAAATTTACAAAATGAAAGTTTGGCTCAGAAATTATAGTCCAAACTCCCAGTATGTTAGAAGACTTGCTTATATCAATACTTTCTAAATTTTACCTATAACACTGTTAGTACCTCCAGGTGTGATAGAGAACCTAAGTAAATAAAAAGAACTAGAAAAAACAGGAACAATAAAAATCAAGATCAAGGCAAAGATCCATTGGTTCATGACAAGGCATACATGGTACCTGAAACTGAATCTAAACGTATCAAGCTGAAGTCCATAATGGGCAACCACTCTTACCTCTCTAAAACTGAATGTTTACAGCATGGTTTTTTAACAGCATGAGTTAACTTTTTTTTTTGGTTTACAAAGGAACACATCTGCCTGAACTAATCTGATGAAAAACCATAATCCATTTCTTCCCATTAGACTAAATAATGAAGCTAATCATGCTGGCTTTCTACCCCCACCCCACCCCCACCCCACCCCCACCCGCCTTGGTTCTCACCACAACATGAAATTTTAAAGAATCCATTTAGTTCCACCACTTTATGCAAGACTGGGCAGTTTCAAAACATGTAGGTACAAAGATGTTAGTATCACACTGATACAGAAGGCTCTATAAATTTCCTTTACATGGTTAATTAAGACCTTTTGATCTACAGACAAAGATAACGGTCGATCTAATAGCAGCAGATTCATGACAAACGCATACTGTTAATATTCTGTCCTCAAGTGACTGCTACTGTCCCAGTGCTTCTGGTCTAAATGCACTTTTACTCAGTCCTAACCGTTACCAATAGCTTTTTCACATCCATGGATCTATAATATTTAAAATAATATCCTGGGACAATTGTGATCTGCACTGTCAGTTCACAGGAATTCAGAGGCATGAAACGTGAATTACACTGCTTCAAACTTAAGGAAAACATAAGCAGATACAGATTTGGGGCTAATCTATCTATGGGTTTTGGTGGGATATTTTCAAGGAGGCTGAGAGATGAAAAGGCGAGGGAGATGATTGGTGAAAGCAGAGCTTTTTTCCACCTTCCTGGAGAGTGGGAGAAGAGTTTCATGGAGAAGAAAAACTGCTAGACAAAAGTTGTCACAGGGAATACAATCCACTTCCCCAAGTCTGGGAAGGTTCTATGCCTAGGAAGGGTCTCATAGTACAAAGGCTGATGGGCTACGGTGCAGGAGGGATGACTGAAGGCACTCTGCCTAGCGTAAACTGAAAGGACTCAAATCCACCTTAACTTGCTCAATTACAGCTTAACCAAATTCACCTGGTCATCATATTAAACTCACAAATTCTACAATGATCAAGCTACCTCCAATCTGCAGCCACTTAGCTAAGTACTCTTCAAAACCTCAAAACTCTTTTTATGCTCTGAAAATGGGGGGGGGGGGGGGGGGGAGGGAATCAGGAAGCTTCCTTTCCTGAGTACCTGGTCCAATGTCAAAACACAGCATTTATTTTCAAACACTGTGAAACTTAAAAAAAAAAAAAAAAGAAAATTCATCGTGTATTTCAGAAATTCAAAATTTGGGATAACATGCTTTTAACATGGTTCCTACAGTTGTCGCATTGTGCAAAAATCCAGAATGGTATAGTTTCACAGGGAAGAGTAGCTGAGAAAGGAGGCTTGTCCACAGACAGCCTGGTGACAAGAAGTCTGGGCTTCAAGTTCTGACTCAGTCACTAACTGATTCTGGGGCTCTGGGCCCTTCAACGTTCATTTTTAAAACGATAGTCTGAAATGATTTTGAAGGTCCCCTTCAGCTTCAAGCTAAGCACAATCTGACCATATGTTTCAAGTTCCAACTGAAAATTACAGGAAAGAAATTATGAAAGACTTAAAGTCCATGTTTACCCGAGATTAAGTCTGTCATCATTGTGCTGCTGTGGAGGAAAACCTGTTGCATCACATGGAATACTCTTTTTCTAGCTACACAAGAAATTAAAAAAGCAGTAGGCTGGCTTTTTGCATTTTTTTTTTTCATTTTGTGAAAAGTAAACAACCGTGTGCTCCCTACGATAACAAGTTCTCAAGTTTCACCTTTATAGTCTGTAAGTACACACAGGATGCCACCTGGCGGAATGGGGCCACGTGACTGAACGCGGGCTGGGCTGGCTTGCTGTTGAAACATTTCTGTGATGCGTGATTGATGCTTTGCGTTTACATTCAAGCTTCATTCCAAACCCACCTCCAAGCTTTAGTGGAAGGCTGTTTGGGACCTTCACTGTTGCTGTTTTCAGGGACGATTAACCACGTATTGGCCAGTGGAAGAGGAAGACTGCACAGGATCTGCCCATGTATTTAATACCTACTTCGTGTGGCTTATGCTCACTGGAGCATGCAAGTTAAAAACAACGGGATACAACCTCAGATCCTAATTGGTCACATCTACTTTGACAATAAAAGGGAAGTCAGAGAGCCTCTGACACTGCATCTGGTGTAAGTGGAAAACCTCCCCGTTTCCCCACACTAATGTCACAGACCTGCCCTCCCCCGCCCCCAACACTGTAATATCACACGGTTAAGAGTTTCAAAGGTCTGTCATTTTTCCCAGAAAAACACCGCGGCTCTGGAGGGATTCTAGCTGGGTGCACTCACCTCTTTGATCTTTTCCCTTTTCTCGTGGATGGCGGCATCGGCGGGTTCCCGGTCAATCGCCCCGATTGTATTCAGGGGTGCTAAGTACACGGGGGGCAGCCTTCTGAACCCCGCCCTGTTACTCAGCTGGTCCTGGGCCACCTTCTCCTTCTCCATTAGGATGTCTCTCTGGATCTCCTCGGGCAGCTTCTGCAGGGTCTCCTTGGCTTCCCTCAGAGCCCGCTCGTGGTTTTCGCGGATCCTAGCCAAGTTGTCCTCTAGGGAGGCCGCGGGGTCCCCCGGAGCGTCCTCCTCGCCGCGCCGGGCGCGCCCCTCCGCCGCGTCCTCGGCGCGCGCCCCGGGTCCGGGCTTGTGGTCGGCGGCCGGCTGCAGGGCGGGGCTGGAGTGGAACAGGACCCCGCTGAGCAGCTTGGAAGAGTCGGGCAGGAAGAAGATCGCCCCGAAGCAGAGCGTGATGAAGGCGCTGAACACCAACAGCAGCACGAACTTCTCCGTCAGGCGGAAGGCGGCGGGGCCCGACCCCTTCCTGCCGCTGCTGCCGCCGCCGCCGCCGCCTCCGAGCCCCCCGCCCAGGCCGCCGCCCGCCGGACTACTGAAGAGCGGCAACAGGCCCCCCACGGGCATCGCGCCGGCCGCCGGGTCGCCCGCTGTCCAGTGGCCTCGCGCCGCGCCGCTCAGCAGCCAAACTTCGCCGCCGCCGGGCGTCAGCGGCCGCGGGGCTGCGTCCTGGGCATCCAGGCCGCCTAAACCCCCCGCTCGGGCTGCAGGTATCCCCCGGGGAGACAACTCCCCTCAGGGTCTTCTCCCCGAGACGGCTCCTTTGGCAAACGACGCGCGCGCGACAGACCTCTCGCTGCAGCCCCTGCGGGGAGAGAAACAGTAAAAACACAGAAATTAACCAGGATGGTGATAAAGTTTCCACCGGTCTCCACCCTCCGACGACCGCGAGAGCCGCCAGGACAGCTCCCCCGGCACGGAGTCCGGAGTCCGGCTGCCGGCACCGCCCTCGGAACCCACGCTTTGGACTTAGGGGTGAAGTTGGCGGGTCTCGGGGGTGGGGTGTCCCGCGCGCACCTGGAGCGGGGCCGTGCGCGGTCACCTCCTTGCAGAGGGCAGCGCGGGAGAGGCGCCGCAGGGGTGGCGGTGGGGGGTTCGTCAACTTCGCCCGCTCCTCATCCCGAAGCTGGGACCAGCTGTCTCTCCGCTTCCCAGGTGGCGTCTGAGCGTGCCTCCCCGCAGCCCCGAGCACCGCGCGACTGGGCTAGCGCGCCGACCCGCGGGCGAGTCGGAGCAAGCAGGGAAGCTCGACACCCTCCGCCGCGGCCCCGCGAGCACTAACACCACTGCCGGTCTCGGGGCGGTCGGAAACGAGGGCGGTGACGCGGCCGGAGAGTGACGGCGCGGCCGGGCCAATCACGCGCCGCTCAGGGCCCCCCAGGGGCGGGACCGAGGCAGGGAGGTGGGCCGTGCCGGGAGGGGAGTTTACGGGAAGCGCAGCCTCGTGGGGGCCCGGCCGGGGGCGGGGAGGTAGCTGGGGCCCCTGAGGCACGAGGCGGGCGGGAGAGGCGGCGGGAAGCCTGGCTGTCTGACCCTCGGTGGAGGCCAGGGGCCGGAGGCGGCGGGCGGGACCCGGGGTCCTGGACTTTATCCTGGTCCGGCCTCGGGCCTGGGTCCCAGAGGGTGGCTGGTCTTGAGTTGCGGGGGAGGCGCCTGGGCTGATGCAGGACCTCCCTGCTACCCCCTCGGACCTGCGCCTGGCCGTGCGGGGCCCGTTCCAGGAGCGTCGAGAAGGACGGGGTCTTGCCAAGAATCGCAGATCTCTATGAAGCGTGGTTACTCTTCTTTACCCGAAGCAGGGATTCCCCCAGTGCTCGGTAGCAGTTAACACAAAAGTCCCTTGAGGAGAGGCTGTGATTTGGAGAGCTCTTGAGCTCAGCTTTTGAGCTCTTTGGTCGAACATCCTTTCACCTAAGAGGCTCAATGGTTTTGTGGTTGCTCCGAAGTCTTCGACTGAATCCTCTCCCTCTTAAAAAAAAAAAAAAAAAAAGTGGTGTAGCTCCCCCACCCACTCCCACTTTCAAAATTCACCTACCTCATACAAGTTGGTCATATTTTCCACTTAAAGAAGTTTTATGCTGCCATAGCTTCAAGTAATAAATTTCAACATTGTTGAAATTGACTTGGATTTGACTACTTCCAGGGAAATAAGGACTTGGTCCAACAGAGATTGTCTTCTAGACAGCATTATTTTGCAAAATGTGTTTGTAATTCCCCTGTTGCTCTGCAAATAAAGGATTGTCAGAGAGGAGAAAGTTGACTGACTTCCCATTTCCCACTTCTGAAAGCTGGTTTATAGCGGGCTTACCTTCTATCCTGCATGCTTCTATAGAAAGGTGATTTTAGATCTATTTCTGCTTGTTGTCTTTAGAAAAGAGGAAACAGCTGACACCTTTCAGGAAGGTGTCCACAGCATAGTTGTTCTCAGGATTTAGACTGTGTGAGAAAATCTAAAATTAAATTTAAAAACCCTTATTACAGGTTTTATTTTAGTATTCATTTTAACCATTACAGTATTTGTTTTGTGTAAAATGAATCATACACCCTAAGTTTTTGTTAATGGGAAATTATTGTTCGATAAAGCCAACTGTATGGCTTTTTTTTTTTTTTTGTAAACTGCTCTGAAATTCTGTGCCCAGAAGAGTGCAGCGTATCCAAGCAGGGTAACAAAGTTTAGAAGGACTGAAACAGAAAACAATAGTTTTTATTTTTAATAATGGAAGGGTAATTTTTGTTTCAAACTACAACTTGTAGATAGGTTGGAAAGTTTAAATCATTGGGAATTAAGGTCTGTCTCTTTATCATCATCTTTTATGGAATGCTTTATTTCAACTATTGAATTATTTCTTGTAACCACAAACTATTTAGAAACATTATGATTAATGTTACTAAGTATTCCAGAGAAGCAATAAAATCTACTTTTAAGTGCATGTTGAAGTGATGAAGAAAGGAAGTTATAAATCTAATGCTATTTCTTTAATTTTGATATCAAACCAATTTGAGTTTAACTCATATCCTGTAATGGAAACATTTAAAATTTAGCATATGGACTTAAAGATGATTTTTTTCCCCTAAACATCTTAAATTTTATTTATCTATATTGTGTTTAGGGCTTCCCCAGTGGCCCAGTGGTAAAGAATTTGCCTGCAATGCAGGAGATGCAGAAGAGGTGGGTTCAATCCTTGGGTGGGGAAGATTCCCCTGGAGGAGAAAATGACAACCCACTCCAGTATTCTTGCCTGGAGAATCCCATGGACAGAGAAGCTTGGTGGGTTACAGTCCATAGGGTCGCAAAAAGTCAGACTTAACTAAGCAGTATTGTGTTTAAATCTTTTACAGTGATTATTATATTTATTTGTGTTTACCTTTATGTAGCTTATTTTAAGACTGCTTTCTTACTATATGTTTTTCATATGAAACAGATTTATTAAGAGTGAAGCCTGCTTTTAATGACTGGTTAAACCAAGAAATTAGCATGGGTGGTTGATTATGGGATACATATTAAAGGGTGCCAGTCTGCATTAGGTAGGATGAAAAACATGTGGGAATGCTCACATTTGGGCTAAAGCAAGTTTAAAAAAAGTTCACAGAGAAGGTATTCGAAGAGACATACCAACTAAATCAACCACATTAAAACCCTGAAAACCAACCATGTGTATTCATGGTAAGGAAGGAGGACAGAATGTTCAATAAGTAAAAATGTACGTTTTGTAAAAGTGAAATATAAGACTTTGCCCTGATTTCAAAACCATACATACCCTACAGTTGGAATCACAATACTGTGTATCCTCACATATAGCAAAAATAAAGGAAACTGTTCTGGTCTCCAAATAATAAAACTTCCTGTAAATTCAGACTCCCTGCCTTGCCTACCTGAAGACATCTGATCTTTGTGAATGCAATGATTGTGACAAAGTTGCTGTTTTCTCATGAATAGTCTAATGTAAACTTAGCAACCTTAGTAATTTTGTGCAATTTTTCTGTTCAGGTATTTGCCATGTTTTCTTATGTGGCCAGCTAGTCCTGAAGTGACACCCTTGTACTTCTTGTGAGTTTGCTTGCAAACTTAATTCTTAATTTTTCCTTTTCTAGAGCTTATACCTGTATATCTTTGACAATTTGTAAAATATTTGTTTCAAGATAAAATCTTTAGCGTCAAGTAATTTTTTAAAACTTGATTTTGGTTAGAGACATCCCGCCAAATTACAAAAAATCTCCAATTTATTTGACTGCTTGAATTTCTCTGTTTCTAAAATAACATTTGTAGCAAAGGGTAGATTTAACTTTTACATACATGTGCTAAAATTAAATATAATAATAATTATAAACAGGATTACAAAGGAAAAGGGACAATATTTTTATGAAAACTGTGGTGAATAAATATTTTTGTAAAGCTATAAGTTGTCAAAAATTAAATTGCAAAAAACTTTTCTGACTAGGAAGTTTCTGGAAGGTGCTTCTTGGTTTATGAAAAAATCTTTTTGACATTCTTTGTTCTTTAATTTAAAAATATAATGTAAACTAATGAAAGAATTTAACATAAATGTATAATAATTAATACTAAGATGTTTCAACAAGTTAAATTTTTAGTAAAAACAAATCTTCCTATAGCTGATTTTCTAATTGTCTTCAAATTCCAGTTCAGAATAAGTTTTTACTTTTATTTTTAAAAAACCAAAGCATAAATATGAAAAAAATTGTTCATTGTGAACATTAATCTTGAAATTTCAATAATTCAATGGGCAATGCTGAATTTTACATGAAATGCATTATGATGAGAATAAACCAAAGCCTAAAATAAGCTATCAATAATATTCTTAATTATTTGAGGAGTTGCAGTCATATATCTGGTCCTTTTTTTTCTCCTCCTCAGATTACTTTGGAACAGCTTCAGTAGTAGATTATTTTTACAGAACTTCAATCACCTTTGTGTGTGTTTTGGGCCAAGGTTGGGTGAGGGGTGGGCAGGAGTAAGAGGCTGAATCAAGGAGCCCCCTCTGTCCCTGCGTGCTCCTGTTCAAAGATGTTATTGTTTTGAAAACTCATTTCATCAATATTAGCAGTTTCCAACTTAAAAACATTGTGTTCCACGAAGTATTTGGGCATAGCCCTTGGAAATTTTAGAGCATTTCTCTCCATAGAAATAAAGTTCTAAATGGTGCTTTGGTGCTAGTCTGCTCTATAAAGATCTGAAACCCTAGGGGACAATAAAACGTTGGAAAAAATAATGCTGCAATGCTAGTAATCAAAGTAGGATTAAATTAGAAAGTGTTTTATTTATCATGATTGTTGGAGCCTCAGGACAAATTTATCTGGAAGAAGAAGCAATATAATGATTGTTTCAGGAAGATTCTAAACTAACTTGCAAGGTTGTAAGGTTTGTGGAAGTTCTTAGGTATAGTTTTCCTCCAAGTAGATTTCTTTCCATTTCAAGTGTATCACTAGTGCTACCCTTAGGGTGTTTTATTTCTGTTTTCTTTTGATTTGATTAACAAAGGAACTGAAAGAGATAAACAAGTTCCTGGAGAGGTTTTCCTGAGGTAATTGAGCAAGAGTTTGAATGAGAGAGTGATTTATTATAGAAGACATGCATGTCCTTGGCTTTGTGACCATGGGTGATAAGTCACCCATCTTCTGTATCTCTCATTCTTCATCTATAACATTGTTGTGGCTCTTAGATTAAGTGATATAACTAATGTGTCTGGCACAACAGCGTTCAAGAAATTTAATTCAGTTTCTCACCTCTCCTAAAAAGGGAACTAATGAGTTTGGGTAAATTCCAGGAGTTGGTGATGGACAGGGAGGCCTGGCATGCTGAGGTTCATGGGGTCGCAAAGAGTCGGACACGACTGAGCGACTGAACTGACTGAATGTCACTAGTGGCAAAAGAACAGTGTCTATAGGATTCTCCTAAGCAAGAACCAGAAAAGGGTGGCGGAAGAAATTTTGGCTTATGTGGTTCTTCACATGGTTGTCGCTTTTAAACCTTTATTTTCTATTTAAATAATATCCACTGGACTTGTGGACATGATGGGAGAAGGAGAGGGTGGGATGAATTGAGAGAGTATCATTGGCATATATACACTACCAAAGAAGAAAAGGAAAGATATACCCATTTGAATGCAGAGTTCCAAAGAATAGCAAGGAGAGCTAAGAAAGCCTTCCTCAGCGATCAATGCAAACAAATAGAGGGAAACAGTAGAATGGGAAAGTCTAGGGATCTCTTCAAGAAAACTAGATATACCAAGGGAACATTTCATGCAGGGATGGGCACAATAAAGGAAAGAAATGGTATGAACCTAACAGAAGCAAAAGATATTAAGAAAAGGTGGTAAGAATACACAGAAGAGCTATACAAAAAAGATCTTCACGACCCGATAATCATGATGCTGTGATCACTCACCAAGAGCCAGACATCCTGGAATGCGAAGTCAAGTGAGCCTTCGGAAACTTCACTACAAGGTAGTAGAGGTGATGAAATTCCAGTTGCACTATTTGAAATCTTAAAAGATGATGCTGTACACTGTTTATAATAGCCAGGACATGGAAGCAACCTAGATGCCCATCAGCAGACGAATGGATAAGGAAGCTATGGTACATATACACAAAGGACTATTACTCAGCCATTAAAAAGAATTCATTTGAATCAGTTCTAATGAGATGGATGAAACTGGAGCCCATTATACAGAGTGAGGTAAGCCAGAAAGATGAATACCAATACAGTATACTAACGCATGTATATGGAATTTAGAAAGATGGTAACGATAACCCTATATGTAAAACAGAAAAAGAGACACAGATGTACAGAACAGACTTTTGGACTCTGTGGGAGAAGGCAAGGGTGGGATGTTTTGAGAGAACAGATTCCAAACATGTATATTATCAAGGGTGAAACAGATCACCAGCCCAGGTTGGATGCATGAGACAAGTGCTCAGGGCTGGTGCACTGGGAAGACCCAGAGGGATGGGGTGGGGAGGGAGGCGGGAGGAGGGATCGGGATGGGAGATACATGTAAATCCATGGCTGATTCATGTCAGTGTATGGCAAAAACCACTACACTGTTGTAAAGTAATTAGCCTCCAACTAATAAAAATAAATGGGAAAAAAAAAAAGATGATGCTGTGAAAGTGCTGCATTCAGTATGCCAGAAATTTGGAAAACTCAGCAGTGGCCATAGGACTGGAAAAGGTCAGTTTTCATCCCAATTCCAAAGAAAGGCAATGCTAAAGAATGCTCAAACTACTGCACAATTGCACTCATCTAACACGCTAGTAAAGTAATGCTCAAAATTCTCCAAGCCAGGCTTCAACAGTACGAGAAC